TTGGGAAGAAAATACAAGAACAAAACGAAAAATTAGAAAAGATTCTAAATCTACAGATAGAAATCCAAAAGATTAATACTAAATTGTCAGAAATAAAAAAATTGCCCTGCAACCTTACCATAATTCTCTTTTCTTTCCCATTCTTAAAAAAGACCATTTCATGGTTATCTCTTGTCTCACATACAACTCTTCAACAAACATACAGGTTTCATTCATTCAGAAAAGAGAAGCCATGTCTGGGAGCTCACTCATTTTTCCACAGCCTCCACGAACCTACTACAATGCCCCACATCTTCTCATTCCTTCTTGAAACTTCTCTCTGCCTAGATATCAAAAGACAGTTCCTCCCAAGAAGGAGGGGAAAAGGAAGATTCAATGCTCAGGGGACACCGGGCTTCTGTTAAGGGCCCCGGAATATTTGGGGAAGAGATAACAGCGATTGATAAACATAATTAACATCAATAAAGTGTATATGCAAAAGTTGTTGAAGTAGCAAATATTTTGTTACATATATATTTACCAAAATATGTAATAGATAAAATAAAACTAAACATAAAAAAAGAGAGAGAGAAATAAAAGTTAGGAGTGGCCTTACTTTTATTCCCCGAGGTGTCCCCCCCCCCCCCAATGCCTTTCTCTCTTAAAGCTTGGCTCCTCCAGTTATATGGCCTTTCTCTCTCCTCTACTGGATAATTTCTATCAACACAGAAACATGCTATATTCTGGCAAAGCCTTCTCATTATCCATATCTGCTTAGGAATTGCCCTGGCTCCCCTTCACAGTCAAGTTTATCAAAGCAGTTGTCTATATATGCTATTTCCACTTCTTCATCTCCCTCCCATTCACTTTTCAACCTAGTCTTCTAATCTGGCTTCATCCAGCACCTTCTGAGCTACCATTTCCTGGCATTAGCAACCTCCAGGTTACCAAGCCCAAGGAGTACACTTCAGTCCTCAGCTCATGCAACCTCCAGGAAATACTAGTGTTGACCACTCCTTCCTTCTTAAGACAGCTTCCACTCTTGACTTTGAGAACATGACACTCTCCTGGTTTGTTTCATCAAGTCTTCTGTTTCATTTACTGATTCCTCTCCTTCTACCTCACCTCACAGGCTGAAGTTCCTCTAAACTACCTTCTCATCTCTATCTTCTACCACTGTCATTCTTTTAAATACTACCTATATGCTAAAACGGAGCTCTTGGTAACGTAGTGCTTAAGGCATTTGACTGCTAACCAGAAGGCTGGCAGTTCAAACCCACCAGCCACTCCTTGGAAGGAAGGTCGGGCAATCTACTTCCATAGTGTTACCGCCTCAGAAACCCAAGGAAGGGTCGCTATCAGCCAGATCTGACTCCATGGCAGTGCACTGTGTTTTTTGCATTTGTTATATGCTTAACTACCCACATTAGTATTTCCATTCTAAATCTCTCCAGTAAACTCCAGGCTCATGTATTCAATGTCATTTTACCTTCATTTTATTCTAGTTCTTTACCATGGCCTTCCTACCTGTCCAATCTTTGTTAGTGTCATTTCCCCTTTGGCTTGAGCCATAACAGCTTCCATTCTAACAGCAGAGCTTTGACCACACGGCTCACTAGACCAAGTATACTCCTTCCTCCACTTGAGCTTTGCATGTATGGCTCATCCTGCAGGCAATGTTCTTGACCAAATACCAAACCAAACTCACTGCCATCAAGTCAACTCCGAATCAAACCCCATCAGGTTTCCAAGGCTACAAATCTTTATAGAAGCAAACTGCCTTTCTTCTGAAGAGCAGCTAGTAGGTTCAAACTACTAAACTTTTGGTTAGCAGCTAAATGCCTTAACTTCTACACTACCAGTGCTCCTTACATTCTTAACCACCCTATCTAAATTAGGATGTTCAATTTGCCCACACACCCCACTCCCCAATTACTCCAAATCAAAATGTCCTATTTCTTTCCTTTATGGGGCTTATTAGTTTAAGGTTATTTTAAATGTTTCCTAGACTTACCACCTTGGAATCCCGGTGGGAGTCACAGTGAGTCATAATCAACTTGTTGGCACTGAGTTTTATTTAATTATGTATTGTATTTCCTGTGTGTGCAGGAAACACAGCAGTCTTATTTAACACTCTAGCCCCTGAGCTTAGTAGCGTTTATTATTTATGGACCAAATAAATAAATGAATAAAGTCATTTCAAACTTACAAATACATATATGGAACTGAGGTTGAACATCAAGCTTTTTCTCTTACTGGAGCCTAAGAAGGAACCCAGGAAGCACAGTGATTAAGTGCTTGGCTGCTAACCAAAAGGTTGGTAGTTCAAAATTACCAGCTGCTCACAGAAGAAAAATGTGGCAGTTTGCTTCAATAAAGATTACAGCACTGGAAAGCCATGAGGCAGTTATACTCTGTCTTATAAGGTTGTTATGAGTTACAAATAGACTCGAGTTTAGTTTGGTTTGGGATTTAGTGCCTAAGAAAGGAGCCCTGGTGGCTCAATGGTTAAGCACTCAGCTGCTGAGAGGTTGACAGTTGGAACCCACTCAGTGCCTCCAAAGGAGAGATACCTAGTGATCTGTTCCAATAAAGATCAGAGCCTAGGAAACCCTATGGGGACATTTCTAGTCTGTCACATGAGGTCACTACAAGGTGAAATCAACTCAACAGCAACTGATAATAAAGCCTAAGAATGAAAATGTATATAACAATATGCTAGGGATATTCTGAAGCTCTTAGCACCAAAGGAGGCTTCAGTAGATTCATTCACTATTTAAATATCACTCACAGGAAAATTCTGTCAATCAGTGGCTGAGATTAAATGTCAATCTTGTCTATTTTAACTAGATGAAATACTATATTTAAAGACAAGTAGAGATTTCCCTGACTCCTTATACAGGGTAACAGATATAATTTCAACTTCTTGTGATCGATTCAGGGTCATCATCATGACTATTTTTCATTTTGCCATCCTCTTCTAAGTGATGCTTAGGGACTAAAGTGCATGAGGATTTTATAGATACAGGCATGTTTACCATTTAATCAGGTTAAATTAGCAAACACGTTTCATTTCATCTTCCAGCTCTGCCAGAGTGGTAGCTGCTACTTAGGCACAGAGTGACAAGATGCAGAAGAAAAGGGGGTCATGAGTTAGCAATGTCTGCAATGTGAACAAAGTCCCTGGGTGGTGGCAAATGGTTAACGCACTTGATTGAAAGGCTAGAGGTTCTAGTCCACCCAGACAAGCATCAAAAAAAGGCCTGACAATGTAATTCAAAAAAATCACCCACTGAAAACCTTATTTAACACCCACTGAAACTCCAATCTTGACATAAACTCAAGTTTACTTTATTCAAAAGCTAAAAAAGGTCAGTGTATTACTAATGTCTCACAAAAATAAAAACAAGGAAAATGCACACATTAAAATATCAGAGCATTATGAACCTATCAGGGAGAAACTTACATTGCTGCTCTTCATTTCTTCCGACACTGATTTTAACTCCTCAGTGAGCCTATTTTTCTCCCCATCAAATTCTTCTTTCAACACTGCTGCTTTCTGTGCCATCTCATGTATTTTTCTCTGCAGCTCCGGTTCCTTCACTGCCATTGTATTTACCTGAAATTGAATCTTTCATTAGGTTCTGTTTATGGGTGTCTGTTTTAATCAAAGTAATCACCCTGATACAACATACTCATGACATTTACTTGTGTCTTCAAAAACAAAATGGAACCCGGTTAATTTTCACTTTATTAATCCACTTAACTAATGTTCTCAAAACCTACTTACCAGCTTACCTTTTCTCCTCAGCAAAGATTTAATAATAGACAGAAATAAAGGAATAACAAAGAAAGATAATATTACTAAGTCTTGAAATCCTGCATGAGGGTAGTATTTTAAATTAAACATCAGAGGATATTGTATGAGGTAGCTTCTTAGATTTTTACCTGTTCTTGGATCTCTGCTAATCCCTCATGTCATACTAATCTGCAAGAAACATGACTATGATCAGTTAAAACTGCTAAAGCTCTATTATTTGCATTTGTCCCTTGAAGTTGAAACAGCCCTGAAAAGTTCGTCTATATTATGCTTGGTAAGATGGAGGGTCAATGAAAGAGGGGAAGGCCTTCAACGAGATGGGCTGACACTGAGGCTGCAATGATGGGCTCAGGTATAGCAAGGATTGTGAGGCTAGCACAAGACTGGGTGGTGTTTCGTTCTGCTGTATAGGGTCGCTATGAGTCGGAGAAGATTTGACAGCACCTAACAACAACACAATCACCTCTATGGTAACTGCCATCTTTTACAAGCTATATAAATACCTGAAACTTTGAGAAAATACAGAATTGTGAATTGCATTTCTGAACACTCCCCTTTTCCTTTTAATATTTGTTTAGGAAACAATTTAATTTAAAGGAATTCATTTTCCTCAATCAGTAAGTAAGCACACTGGGCAAAACTTAAGTTTTCTTTAATAATTGACTCTCTGATGACAGACCTCCCTTTTTATCATCAGTTAATAAAATAAGAGACTGCACCCAAAGAAGGTACCAAAATAGAGGCTGAAAGCAGGAAATCCCTAGGACATACCCTGGGAGCCAAGAATATTTTATTGCTTATAACTGAATCAACATCTTTCTTATAAAAGCAAAAAGATGGGGATGGTGGGACCAGGGGGAGGTCTCTGCACATTCTGATCCTAATTCATGTCTGTTGTGCTCTCTGTGTAGAAGCGTGAAAGGCACAAGTGGTTGGTAATCAGCTGCTAACCCCAAGGTTGACAGTTTGAGCCCACCCAGCAGTTTCACAGAAGACAGACCTGTGTGGAATCCTTCCATAAAGATTACAGCTCCAAGAAAACCCTATGAAGCAGTTTTATTCTGTCACACAGGGGGTTACTGAGAGTCAGGGGCTGACATCAGTATGTTCTCTATAGCAGTGATTCTCAGTTGGGTATGGGGCTGTTACCAGTCTGATCTATTTTAAGAAAAGGAAAAATAATTAGAATTGAGAACTGGGTATAACCCAAAGCCTCACCTATGTTGAGGTGCTAAATAAAAAGCCTAGGTCAATCCATGGACGTATCCCACGTGAACATGTGCCAGAAGAATTACTATTGCAGGAGCAGACTCAATGCTCCCACAGTTCAAGTCTTCACAAACTTAAAGCCAAAACAAAGTTGGCCCACCATAACAAACACTGTCTAGAAGAAAATCTAATCCACAATGGTTTCCCTCCCTCATGGCTACATGTTTAAATATAAGATTAACTAAACATAACCAAACATCTCTCAGGATTGAGTTCCTAGGTTTAAAGGACTAGAATCATAGTCTAGTCCTAATTTTTAATCCTGTGGGACACCTCAGTCAATTGGCCTAATACAGTTCATAATGTTATGTTCTACATCCTACTTTGGTAAGCAATGTCTGGGGTCTTAAAGCTTGTGAGTATCCATTTAAAATACAACTATTGGTCTCTAGTCATCTAAAGCAAAAGAAGGAAACTAAAGACTTAAAGAAGAAACTAGTCTACACGAACCACAATCTCATCTACCCTGAGACCAGAAAAATTAGATGGTGCCAGCTACCAATACCAATTATTCTAATGAGGGCCACAATAGATGGACCTCAATAGAATGGAAGAAAATGTGTAACAGAACCTCGAATTCCTAAAAAAAAAAAAAAAAAAAAAACTGAGACTGGAAGACTCATCAAGACTTTGTTGTTGTCAGGGGCCATCAACTCATAGTGACCCCATTCACAGCAGAAGGAAACAGTGCCCAGTCCTGTGCCAGCCTCACGACCTTTGCTATACCTGAGCCCATCGTTGTAGCCACTGTGTCTATCCATCCCGTTGAGGGCCTTCCTCTTCTTCGTTGACCTGCCACTTCACCAAGCATAAGATCCTTCTCCAAGGAATGGTTCCTTCTGACAACATGACCAAAGTAAGCAAGATGAAGTCTGGCCATTCTCACTTCCAAGGAGCATTCTGGCTGCACTTCTTCCAGGACAGATTTGTTAGTCCTCTTAGCAGGCCATGGTACTCTTAGCATTCCTCTCCACCACAACTCAAAAGCATCAACTCTTCTTCAGTCTTCCTTATTCACTGTCCAGCTCTCACATGTGTAAGAGGCGACTTAAAATACCATGGCTTGGGTTAGGTGCACCTTAGTCTTCAAGGAGACATCTTTCCTCTTCATCATTTGAAAGAAGTCCTTTGCAGCAGATTTGCCTCATGCAGTACATCATCTGATGTCTTGACTGCTGCTTCCGTTGGTGTTGATTGTACAGCCAAGTAATGTGAAATCCTTGACAACTTCAATCTTTTCTCCATCCACCATGAAGCTGTTTATTGGACCAGTTGTAGGGATTTTTGTTTTCTTTATATTGAGGAGTAATCCATACTGCAGACTATAATCTTTAATCTTCACCAGTAAATGCTTCAAGTCATCCTCACTTTCAGCAAGGAAAGCTGCCATCTGCATATCACAGATTGTTAACCTCTAATCCTGATTCCACATTCTTCTTCATATAATCCAGCTTCTCAGATTACTTCCTCAGCATACAAGTTGAATAAGTATGGTGAACGAATACAGCCTTGACACACTCCTTCTTGATGTGGACCATGCACTATCCCCTTGTTCTGTTTGAACAACACAACAGCCTCCTGGTCTATGTATAGGCTCCTCATGAGTACAGTCAAGTGTTCTAGAATTCTCATTTTTCTCAGTGTTATCCACAGTATGTTATGATCCACACAATAGAATGCTTTTGCTTAGTCAATAAAACATAAGTAAACATCTTTCTGGTATTCTTTGCTTTCAGTGCAGATCCATCTGACATCAGCAGTGATATCCCTCGTTCCATGTCCTCTTCTAAATCCAGCTTGTGTTTCTGGAAGCTGTCAATATACTGCTGCAAACATTTTTTAATTAACTTCAGTAAGATTTTACTTGCATGTGATATTAATGATAATGTTCAATAATTTCCACATTCTGTGGGACCATTTTTCTTTGGAATGGATACAAATATGGATCTCTTCGAGTCAGCTGACCAGGTAGCTGGCTTCCAAATATCTCAGCATAACTGTGTGAGTGCCTCAAGCAGGGCATCCATTTGTTGAAACATCTCAATGGGTATTCTGTCAGTTTCTGGAGTTTTGTTCTTCACCAATTCCTTCAGTGCAACTTCAACTTCTTCCTTCAATACCATTGGTTCTTGATCATATGCCACCTCTGAAATGGATGAACACTGACCAATTCTTTTTGGTACATTGACTCTCTGTATTCCTTCCGTCTTCTTTTGATGCTTCCGACATCATTCAATATTTTGCCCATAGAATCTTTCAGTATTGCAGCTCAAGGCTTAAGTTTTTCCTCAGTTTCTTCTGATTGGGAAATGCCAAGCATGTTCTTCCCTTTTGGTTTTCTCACTCCAGGTCTTTGCACACTTCATTATAGTAACTGGCTTTGTCTGCTCAAGCTGCTCTTTGAAATCTTCTGCTCAACTCTTTTATCTTCTCTTTTCTTCCATTTGCTTTAGCTACTCTCCATTCAAGGGCAAGTTTCAGAGTCTTTCTGACATTCGTTTTGGTCTTTTCTTCCTTTCTTACCTTTTTAACGACCTCTGCTTTCTTCATGGATGATATTTCTTGATGTCATCCCACAGTTCCTCTGGTTTTTGGTCACTGGTGTTCAATGTATCAAATCTAGTTTTTAAATGGTCTCTAAATTCAGGAGGGATATTATCAAGGTCATATTTGGGCTCTTGTGGACTTGTTTTAATTGTCTTCAACTTCCACTTGAATATGCACATGAGCATTTGATGGTCTGTTCCACAATCAGCTCCTGGCCTTCTTTTGGCCAAAGATATTGAACTTCATTACCTCTTACCACAGATGTAGTCGACCTGATTCCGGTGTATTCCATCTGTTGAAATCTGTATACTCATCGCTTATGTTGTTGAACAAAAGTATTTGCAATGAATAAGTCGTTGGTTTGCAAAATTCTATCATGCGATCTCCAGCATTATTTCTATCACCAAGGCCATATTTTCCAACTACCACTCTCTCTTCTTTGTTTCCAACTTTTATATACCAGTCACTAGTGATAATCAATACAACTTGATTGCATGTTTGGTCAATTTCTGACTGCAGAAATTGAAAGAAATCTTCAATTTCCTCATCTTTGGCTTTGGTGCATAAATCTGAATAATAGCAGTATTAACTGGACGTCACTGTAGGTGTATGGATATTATCCTACCACTGAGAGCATTGTACTTACAGGACAGATCTTGAAACAGTCTTTGTGACAATGAATGCCACACCATTCCTTCTCAATTTGTCATTCCCAGCATAGTAGATCATATGGTTGTCTGATTCAAAATGGCCAAAACTGGTCCATTTCAGCTCACTAATGCCTAGGATATCAATCTTTACGTATTCCATTTCATTTTTGGCAACTTCCAGTTTTCTTAGATTCATACTTTGTACATTCCATGTTCCATTAATGGATGTTTGCATCTGTTTCTGCATTTTGAGTCATGCCACATCAGCCAATGGAGGTTCCGAAAGTTTTACTCTATACCTATCATTAAGGTTGTCTCTACTCTGAGGAGTCAGCCCTTCTCCAGTCAAAGTTTGAGTGCCTTCCAACATGATGGGCTCATCTTCCAGCACTATATCGGATGTTTCAGGGCTGTTCATAAAGTTTTCCAGTAATATATCAGACAGTGTTTCACTGCTATTCATAAGGTTTTCACTGGCCAATTCTTTGAGAAGTGGATGCCCTCTTCCTTCTTCTGAGTCTGCCTTAAGCCCAGAAGCTCTGCTGAAACCTGTCCACCATGGGTAACCCTGTTGGCATTTTGCAACAGGGTGGCATAGCCTCCAGCCTCACAGCAACACATAAGCCACCACAGAACAACAAACTGACAGACAAGTTCATCTCCCTTAATTGTTCCTAATCTATGCATCTGTCTACCTCAGGCCCCTGCCTTAATATAGAGCCACTCCCAAGGGAAAAGCAGCCTCCAAGCCCCAGGCCTGCCTACCTCAGGCCCCTGCCTTAATGTAGAGCCACACCCAAGGGAAAAGCAGCCTCCAAGCCCCTGGCCTGCCTACCTCAGGCCCCTACCTTAATATCAAGCCACACCCAAGGGAAAAGCAGCTCCAAGCCCCAGACCTGCCTACCTCAGGCCCCTACCTTAATATCAAGCCACACCCAAGGGAAAAGCAGCCTCCAACCCCATTGCCTTTGTACCTCAGGTCCCAGCCTTAATAAAGAGCCACACCCAAGCAAAACACAGCCTCCAAGCCCTTGCTGCTCTACCTCAAGTCCCCGCCTTAATATAGCACCACACCCAAGTGAAAAACAGCCTCCAAGCCCCTGGCCTTGGACATAGTAGCCATCAAGACTAGTACCCTGAAATAGTCCTCAATCCTTGAACTGAAACTAACTCCTGAGGTCAACCCATAGCTAAATAACATATTGGCTCAAAAAAAAAGAATATCACCTGTAAGTACTGTGCTCCTTTTAAATAATCACCTACATGAGACCAAATAATCAATAATTACTTTAAAAGAAAGATGAGGAGGCAGGAAAACTGATTAATGGAAATGGAACAACCAGTAACAGAAATAATGAGAATGTTCACGGATTATGAAGAATGCCACCAATGTCACTGAACAACCTGTGTAGCAATTGTTGAACTGGAAGCTAAACTGCTAAACTGCTGTGTAAATCTTCACCAAAACACAGCAAAATGTTTTGTTTTTTTTTTAGTAGTAAATGTAAGTAGATTAAGATACTTACTTTTTCAAGAAAGGACATTTTTTCCATTTTTGTTGATTCAAGCTCCTTCTCAAGATCCTTGTAAGAATTCTGCAGCCCTTCTAAAGTGTCCTGCAGAGTGGCATTTTGGGATTGCAGCAGCTGGACCTTCTGTTCCAATTCCATTGTCAGATTCCCCAGTTCTGTTTTTTGCTTCTCCCAAAGTCGCTGCTCTTCTTCTACCTGGGACAGTTTAGAAGTGAGCTGCTCCTGGTCTTGAATTTGATTTTTTAGTATACTGATTTCTTCATGATTCTTCTCTAGCTTCTGTTTGCCATCTTCTACCTCTTGAATGAGGTCATCCATAGAAGACTGCAAACTAATGTAATTATTTTTGGCCTCTTCAAGGTCTTGTAGCAACTGAGCCTTCTCATGTTCAAGAGAATCTACTTGACTCTTCAGATTCTGTTCTTTGGCCTTATATGTCTCTTGGTCAACACATATAGCTATAACTTTCTCATTTAGCTCTTTTAATTGTGCCTGAAGCAACTCTACTGCAATTTTTGATTCTTCTTTCAGCTGTAGTTTTTCTTGCTCTTTTTCTTGTAGTAGATTTTCAAACGAAGAATTCAGGGTTTCTAATTCAGATGCTCGCCCTTTCTCAGTTTGTAACTGTTTTGTCAGATTTTCTTTTTCTGACTTTATATTGACAAGATCTAACTCCAGATCTCTCAGGTTTTGGAACAGCTCTTCCATTTTCATCATGAGTGTTTCTACCTCAGCTTTGGAATTCTCAGACTCAAGAATGACAATCTCTTGGTTTCTTCCTGCTATCTCCAGTTCCCTTTCAAGGTTCTCTACTTTATCCCTAAGCAAATCTGCATTATACTCACTTTCCTGTAGTTTTTCTAATGTATGAAAGTGCTTCTTTTCATCTGCTGCAAAGCAGACTTTAAGCCTTTCAAAGCTATTTCTCAGGTGACGCACTCCCTCCACTGGTGAGCTCAGGCTCTCTTCTTTGGCCTTAGATATCTCTTGGTCATCACACAAGGCTGCTACTTCTTCATTTAATTCCTTCAATTGTGTGTGAAGCAATTCCTCTGCAGTTTTAGACTCTTCTTTCATTTGTATTTTC